ACGGCATCACGTGTGAACGGCTGAACCGATTTCGATAATTCTTTTTTTTAAATGTTTGTCCAAGTCCAAGGATGGTTCTTACGGAAAAAAATATTAAGAAAATCTCTACGCTAAGGCGGTACGAAGTTCGCCGGGTCAGCTAGTGCTATAATAATTAACATTAAAATATAACCGTAAGATAGCAAAGGTCAGTACCTACACGCGGAGAATCGCCTGTAGATAACGTAAAATAACAAGACCTACTTTGTCTCTTTTTGTTATTACAAAATGTTTGTTTGTTCACAAAATAACATGAACCTAGTCTGCATTAATATTAAAGGTTTTTTTGTTTGTTTGTATTGAATAGGCTCCAAATACAAACAATCCTACAATATTTCTTTTAGGCGGTACGAAGTTTCAATTAAATTAGCTGAAATTTTCTCGCTTTATGTGTAATTCCCTGTTTTTAAAGAAAATACGTTCTCTTCCATTATTTCTTTTAAAGTAATAGAGGCGTAAGTATAGGAGTTCGGAACTCGTAACGATCTACACAGGGACTAAATTACCGCAATTTTATCATCATCCCATCGACATACGTGGTTATAAACGCATTACTCGAATATGTGAAATAGTCGCAACAAGGTTACGTCAGGTTAATCAGTGGGACTATGATATTGTATTTTCGGATCTATCCGCCTCTTTCACACACCCTGAGATGGTTGATGATGTGAGCGAGAACGATAAATAGAGTTGATAATACGGACAGCACGGAATAGGCCTCCTGATCATTCTTTTGTTTGTAAATATAGGAGAACGCCTGGCCAGTGGTGTAGTCAATGGATTTACTAACATCTACGAGAAGAGATTTATCTCTTGGGCACAATTTGCTTAGAAAAAAATACTTTAGCTGTTAGGGCTATATTTCACCGGGACACCATGGCGGCGCAACCAGTCGCCGGCTACCAACAAAATATAGAGCTTTGCGCAACCAAACGGACACCATGTGAGTAACTCTCTATAGAGCTGTATACATTTTGTTGGTACCTAACCGGCGACTGGTTGCGCCGCCATGGTGTCCCGGTGAAATATAGCCCTTAGGGTAGGAAAGGCAAAGCGTAAAGCTTTGTGGAGTACATTATATTGTGTCATATACGTTATACAGGGTGTGGCGTAAATAGTGGTCCAAAGCATAGGAGTCGATACACTGTAGTACACTGAGGTACCACATGCCAGTAAATACAAATACAATGTGAATTCTATTTAAAAACACTTAAGGGACTGAGCATTTTTTGATGTTATGAAGAATTGAAGTTAAATAGAGACACATTAGAGCGGATAGAAAAGGAAAACCAACCAAAGTCAAGAAATTTCGACGTTTTAAGGAGTTTGTCGTTAAATCGAGTGACGTTATAGACTTTACACTGCTGTTGTTGCTGGTGAGTTTATCTTGGAAATTCGACTTAAAACCGGAAGTGGCAGGCCGCTACCAACCGTGCGATGTGGAAGTCATTGGGGGAGGCCTATGTTCAGCAGTGGACGTCCTATGGCTGAAATGATAATGATGATGATGGCACTGCTGTTGTTGCTGCTGAGTTAATAAGTTCGACATAAAACTGACGTACAGAAAATCACGGTACAAAACAACTACTTCGATAAAGATACGTTTATGGGCGTGACTTTAGAAATTATTTATTTAGTTGAGATGTTACGGTCAAAGTGATAAATGTGAAAATTATGAATAATCGCCGGTTATTATGAATAATTACCGCATGATTTGGTAAATGTGATTAATATGAGGTCATTTATGTGTGTATAAAATAAATAGGCGGCTTAGGGGTGGCCCAAGGGCCACCCCCGCCGCACCTTAACCTATTTTTCACTTTAAATCAAAACATTATGTTATAGGCATCATGGAAAAGTAATAATTATGCAAGAAACATTCCAAACTCATTATGCCAAATTATATTAATATATGATATCAAAACGTTCAAAAGTTTGGCTGTACATGAGCACGTACACAAGATGTTGTTCTCTTTTATGAAATTTGATAGTACTAAGGTTGAATTATTAAATAATCACTGTTAAATGTGATTAATTTATCACTTTTACCGCTACTGTCGGGAATTATTCATAATAACCGGTTATTATTAATAATTTTCATTTTATCACATTAACCGTAACAGAGACAACACTTCCCAAACCTCCGCTAGCTGAACTCTTACGTCTTCAACGTGGCCCAATTTGCGTCGGCGCACAGTACAGAACGATACCAGTAGTATCACTACTATATTTATAGAGTAAATTGTTATTATTTTCTCGCAAAATAGCACCTATTCCAAGCACATAAGATGCCATAATATTCACATTGATATGCCGTTGTACATACGTACATATTTAGTTTTAAATGATAGCCAAAAGTTAAGTTGATTGACATAATACGATTAGATCATACGACTGATGTATTTTTTGGTTTAGTTAACTTCGTAAAATAATTTGTAAAGTTAGGTCTATCTAATTATTTGTTGCTAGTTACTCTCAAAGCTTCTTATATTTCCTACGCCAGAATGGATTAAATATATCACATTATGGAAGTCAAGAGAAAGAGTAAAATACATTTTTATAATTTCACCGACGCAATGGGTTACCTAACGAAGACTGTATGCACAATTAAATAATTAAACGATTAAATTTTAAATACGCCCATGCTTGAATACTAATACACTCGGAGTAAAAATAATCGCACCTCTCGCGACAATAATTTTCTTGTGACACAATCATAGTGCCCCACCAATATTGGTGTTATTTGAAAGCCCAAATAAATAAACTTAAAGAAAAACACATTAAACTTTTTTATGAACAATTAATAGGTACCATAAAAGTGACTTGAAAAAAGCCTCACTTGGGGCTCACCTCTGGGACCAATTTGACCAATTTTTATGGTTATAAAACCAAATAAGGATCTCACGTGTCCTCTTTAACAAATGGATAGCGATTAATCCCAATTTAACAGTTTTATAACCATGAAAGTTGTATCAAGCGTAACTACCTGTCGCTTCGAGACACTGGATCCTTCTAAAGACACATTTTTGGGGTAAAAACCTTTCCTTTAATGGTTTAGAACTAGACTTTCAAATAGTACCAATATTGGAGGGAAGGGAGAATGCACACTTGTGACAGTGCTTTTCACGGGAGGTGCGATTTATTTGACGCCGTGTATGTATACCGTGTAAGCATACTACATACCGCGTGCGTTGTGCGTAGGCGGCCTGGATCGCGCGCCAGCCCGGTTGCACTACAATGCGTTGCCCCGTGTGTCACTTTTAATTCGAGATGGCTGATTTAGAACCGATGTGCGCTCGCCGATCGGTTCAAGGACGACTGCTAAGAATTCGGTTGAAGATTATAAAGTCATTTTTTTTTCTGGAACTTACTGGCACTTACTATAAAGAGTCCACCTCTATCTAGAGGTATATGATAATGTTTCATGATAACGTAATAAGAAAAAAAAACACACTATTGGGTAAATGAACTTGATTGGCCCACAATGAAACATAACGAAAGTGAACAAGACGAAGATTGTCGAGAGATCACCGGGCTCAATTCTAATCGGGACACCGTATAGTGATGTACCAACACTGATGTTCAGTGAGAAACTAAAAGGTGCGCACTTTTAGAAATTCGATTCTGGACAAATCTATGTGACTGAATCATATCATACTTAATGAATGAGCAATCTTAATTTAATAATAAATTAAAAACCGATAAATCCATGTTATAAAAATACTGATATAAATAAACTAGCTGAATAAACAATACTATCATACAATGTTAAATTACAGTGTCTAGAAGATTAACTTTCTACCGATTAATGTTTTATGCGCAGTATTTTACCGGATACGAAGAAAATGTAAACATAGATTTTACTTTCTAGAATCTTATTTGAGTTCTAATTTCAGCGCTGGTGTCTATTTTTAAAGAGTCAAAGAACCTGTGCGCGAATGTGTATCCTATTCCTACATCTTTCGACTACACACAGATGGATAAACGTTTCCATTGTGCGTAATAAAAGTAACTTTCACAACCGAATTAAATTACATTTCAATCTTTCCATCTTGGGACTTTTTACCCTACTGCGTGACGCAAAGGTTATATGTTTATTACCTATCTTGTCGATTAACGTCAAACGATTTATGGGAACGATTCCTTCGGCAAAATGTATCATAAGAAATCGCAACCACTTTTTTAAAGTGTAACGTGATGTGCTGTCAACGCGCTCAATCATTGCTACGAGTATCACGTTACTGGGTATATTTAACTACCTGTACACATTTTAAGGAAGTCGTAAGAAATAAAATATTGTGTTTCAGTTTGACGGTTGGAAGCTACTGACTAACTGTGGTCCATGTGTATAAAAATAGGTAAGTTTGAACATTGGACACTTAATAATCAATTAACAGAAATCATAATTGTTTAGGATGATGAAACTATTACTATAATATCTGTTATTGATCATCACCATTACAGGATTACTTAGTCATCACTACACTGTGTACTTAAATAAGTACTTAGTTATAAAACTAATTATGTAGTTAAATTTAACAAAGGCTGCATGCACCACACATTGTATAAATACAATATTATGTAGTTACGAATAATAACAATAAGAAAATAAAACTATTATTATAAAATTAGAGCACATCAAGCAACTGGTGAGATTTAGGAAACGATAATAAATATAAAACATCTGTTTTGTAGCACAGATGTTTGTAGACCATTGTATAAATATAACAAGGGGATTGACCTCCGGCAGAACACTTCAAAGAACTCTGTTATGATTGGCATTTTAACAAATTAAAATTAATCATTAATACAAATATTACATTGCTAATAAAAAATAAGTAAACAATATACAATTTGTCATTTCTTTTTTAATAATACTAGCTTGAGGAAGTTGTTAAAAGTAGAAAATCAGTTAAAAGTAAATAACAAATAAAAAACGAAAATAAAAATAATTGACTGACCTTTTGGTTATTATAACTTCAAAATCCAATTGTAAAAAGTCACATAGACTGCACTTTTGTTCATGTCATCATGACAAAACACACAGTTTCACTAAATACAAAACATCAGCGTGTAAATAAGTTGTAATGAGTGTTGTGTCCGAAATATACGTGTGAGTAACCTGACTTCACAGTAACACTTGGCAGTGTGCCCAATATACCTGATGCACACAAGTAGGTTAGAACACTAGCGGCAAACGGAGTACCGACTAATACTAGATTTCTTACAATATTGGAATGTGAACCAAAATTTCATCAGCATGTGGGGGTAGGCGGTGGGAAGGCATTGCATTTATGCAGATGACATTCAACTATTACGAAAAGTATTTGTTTATTATTTACAGTAAGTAGGTTTATTAAGAATATTATTTCTAATGGAGCTAATGGTGTATTATTTTGAGTTCTAAGATAATGTTACACACAATATAAAATTACTTTGGCACAATGAAGTTGCGTGTTTGAGTAGAACAGATGTCTACTGGGACTGTTTGGAATACAATCAATAGAGGACTGTATTAGCCAAGATTTTAATTGTAGTTTAAACACACTAGCACTGGTGTTTAGTGTGCAACTTGCATAATACACTTTACAACATAGATAAAACAAAGGTGTTAATATTAAGATAACTTTAGAAACACTAAAGTTCACTAAACAATGACTAATGCACTGGTTCACACAGACTCAGGAACTGTAAACAAACTGTACCTGTACCCAACATCAGAGTAAGCATCTTGAAAACTGCAATTTTGCAAGTGCAAACAAAGCAGGGTCAAGCAGTTGTCAATTGTGTATTAATTGCTTATGAATGAAACAAAGAGTTGAGTTACATTTTTAAAACTAAAATAAGTTCAAGACCAATAATACTACTCCAACATCAGATCATAAGGTGCAATATTGTGTGAAAAGAAGTTTTATGAATATGAAACCTCTATTTTTATAGTAAAATCTGCTTCCTAGGGCGATTCAAGTGGAACTAAATGGCTAATTTAACATCTCACTTGGTTAATGAAAGAGCTCTGAATGTTTACTGCCGATACGAGAATAACAACATCCTACACGTTCTACCAAGCGATTATCGCAGGCTAGCCGTCGCTTTACGTATCAACACAAAGACTAAGATACCACACCTTCTACTTAGTTTAAACTTTAGTAGAGCGTGCTCGTTTGCATTACTAAATTCGTATTCGGCACGAGCGGAAAACCATAGAAAAGTGTTACACATAGGTGAATGATAGCTCACTGTGTAGGTAATTTTAGAAAAAATATTCACAACACTACTTTGACAAGCGCCGTTTACCTCTTACCACCCACATCAGTACATAGCACCCGTGTAAATTACGTCCGCGGATCAACGATTAATGATGCAAAATGAATTTATGTAAATCTCTTTTGATAATTTTGATTGTACGTTCACAGAAAGTAATTTAGTTATGAAATGAACGAAACGTAAGTGAAGTCGTGTCTGTAAGCTCTCTCTGTAATGACTTTTAACGCCAGTGTACCAAAATGTACATTTAATAATCACACTTTATATGTAATACAAAAAAGTTTAATACTAATATTTACTGACCTGTATTTCACTAGAAACTTATAAAACACTCCCCTTCTACCGCGACCATTGCTAATTTTTTTTTTTTTTTTTGGTTCCATTCGTTCCTTCTGGAACAGGCGATGAAGAGTTTATAGGTTTGTCTTTTTGAGTAATTATGATTTTAGTAATAGCATTGGTTAGAATAGTCATAAAAAAGTCTGATTTAGTCAAATTTTGTACTTGTGTTTCAATGTTTCTCATTGTTAATTGCGGGAATGAATTTTCATTAAATAAATCCGAAAATTTGGTTGCTTTTGATCTAATTTTGTTTTCTTCTATTTTAAGTTTTTTTTGGGGACACGTATTGGATATTGCGATGTGGTTACCACCGCAGTTGTTACATTTGGCGTTTTTGGGATCCTCTGTGCAGTTTTTAAAATTATGGTTTTGTGTACAGACGGAGCAAACTTCTGCATTCTTACAATATTTGGCAATGTGCCCAAACTTGAGACAATGCAAACATTGCTTTACTGGCGGGACGTAAACACTGACCTCATGCCTCCAGGAGTCAAGGTACACGTATTGTGGTAGTTCTGTCGATGCGAAGGTAACAGCGACAGTCTGAGTAGGCTGATATGAGACCGAACCACCCTCGTTTCGCACACGACGCATGAATCGCCTGACCTGTATAACATTTCTGGAGCTGCCTATTAAAGAAAATATTCTTTTGTTTGAGAGATCAATAGGTACTGAGTTGAGGACTCCCGTAACTTCGGTATCTATAGCGGGTATTGAAGCTTTCAACCCCAGTTCGTCCATAAATTTTTTATTTTGTATAAACACATTAGCATTATTCGAGAGATCGAAAGTGATACCAATTTTGTACTTATTTATAGGCTTTAGATGTAAAATGCCATTTATACAGTGTTTTCTAATCGAGTGTGAAATCGCAAGTCGGTCCTTGTCAGTGAACAACTGCTTTTCGTCTTTATGTGCGAGGAAAACTATAAATTCGCTTTTTGGACTGTTTTCAGGGTACTTTCTTGAGTACCCCGATACTTTAAAAACCTGGTATTTTTCCATGTTGTCTTCCGTGTCGGAGGACGTGTCGACCGGCGACTCTCCGTCATGAGGATCTTTTTTGCGCTTCTTACTTCCTCCCATCCTTGACTTTGCCACCAAACTTATATACAAACACAAGACAAGATACAAGACGAAATTTAACTCTTTAAAACAATTTTTCAAAATAAATTGCAATTGGGCGCCTTTCTTGTTTCAAGGTTCCCGCCAATCGCGACCATTGCTAAATTGCCAGAGAATCATAGACTTTTTATTTTTTTTGGTTCGACTTATTTTTTTGCAGGAAAACGCAGAGACATTATGCCATACAGCCAAGTCTTACTTATTTACAGTTTTTTTATAACTTGTTTTTTAAACTTAAATTAATGAACAGTGCGACACAAAAGAGTAAAAATTGATTAATTCAGTACCTACAAATCATAAAGTTAGTATATTAGAGGTGTGGTGCTGTGAACTGCTGTGTGGTGTACCAGAATCTCATGGTAAATGACGTAAATGTGGAAATTAAAATTTGTTGTGTGCAATACAAGAGTAATGGCAATACTGGGGAAAATGGATTAAACAGTCTTGATACTGTTTAATTTTTATTTTTATGATATGATTTTATAGCCCGACCAGGAACATAAAAACCCTCGCCATGTTGCGGAAAACTAATGGTACTAATTTTTTTTAATGGCAACAGTAACTGAAAACTTCATTGTCATGTCACCTTGCATGTCAGTCTAAATATTGCTGTCAAAGTGTAAACAAACTTTATTTTAAATGCGCGCAATTGATTTTGTTAATTAAATTGCTAAAATCTTTTTATAGTCGTGAAAGAAAAGTGGTTCACAATGTGTTAAAGTATTTGTCGAAGAGAAATATATATAGGGTTCGGACAATATTTTCATTGAATATTTTTTCTGACAAGGGTGTCAAATTGACTGACATGTTTATCGTATAGTACAGTCCACTATGAAAATTAGCTGTGGTTTGTTTCAACTACCTATTTTAAAAAAAATTGTCACTTTTTGTTTTTTGTCACTTTGTAAGTGTTTAATTTTATGGAATTGGGAAAGAAGTACCGAGTTTTAAGCGTTCATGAGCAGACATTGCAGTTGAATATTCAAGTTCTGAATTTGATTATTGATGAATAATAAAATAAATCATTTTATTTATTTAAACCAGGTTACCTATAATAATATTTTTCGTTAATTTATCAAAATATAAAATTAGCCCGTAATCCTGAATCCTGATACATAAAGTTAGCCTATTAATTTAACACAGGTACGACTGTACTCAGTGTTGCATGCACTATCAAATGCAATTGACGCGTCTCCATGCCAGGGTTTTTATGTTCCTGTGGGTCTAGACAAAATGCAAATTATAATCGCAAACCAGTCGAAAAGTGGTCGAAAAGCCCCTTTTTTGTATGGAGATTTGACGGATTCGATTTTCGATTCGATCAAAAAGTGCGTTTTGTCTGTCTNATGTTTAATGATGAATCGAACCCGCTACCTCCGGAATAGTAGTCCGTTTCAAACCACTACACTATACGGCCAACAACGATTATTACATCGTTAGAATCCTATTTTCTTACGTTATCGTCAGAATTATCATTTTTTAATTATTGTTTTACTCCTACTAATATTATAAATGCGAAAGTTTGTATGGATGTCTTGATGTTTGTAACTCTCATTCTTCCAAATAAATAAGTTGAATAATTTTAATCTTCTGAGATTTTTTTTTATTTTCTTTGGCCACTCTCCCAATTCCCATATACCTACAATCCCATTCCAACCTATTCTATTTATATTATTACTGTTAGGTGTTAATTAATATTTAATCGATATCGATATTCATGTGAAAAGTAACGACATACATACATCACTGACATGCACACATATTTATTTTTACACACACATATGACATCTCATTTTTGGTTTCGTTTGACAGCTCGTGATTGTTGCTCTATTCCGAAGGAATATTAACTTTATGGTATATACCTATTTTGCTAAATAAAAAATCTAGAATAATTAATTACCAGATGGCTCTTGGTCAACGTCCAATCATGCGTTCGACAAATTAATTCTTCGTGAGGCAAAAATTAGTTTTTTTAAGTGCACACATTAGCGGAACAAAGCCTTTATTGCATCCCGCTATCTCGCAGTGTGTGGCGTCAAATGTGCATTCAGCATTCAGCGGGACGAGAGGAAGTGGATCTCAAAGCCGGCCCTGACGGGACTTGAGGTGTCTCGAGCGGCAGAGAGTAAGCAAGGAGATAGTAGGTACAGAGCTTTGATGTTATGTTTAAGTAGGTACTTATTTCCGGAGGCCTATTTTCAGCAGTGGACGTCATATGGCTGAAATAATGATGATGATGAGGTACCTATTACATGTCTAAATGAAATAAGAGCTAAAACTATTTTGGTTTTTGGTGTAGTTGTAGTTAGGTGTATAATTGAGGCAACCTGCCTCGCGCACGGCCCCCGCTACCGGTGGTGTAGTGCGCCGCATGCGATGGACTCAAACCATGAATGAGAATTGCATGCGCGCCTATTATGGGGCTACAGAAGGGGGAACCGTCCT